CGTAAGATTTGTTAAATAAAAGGGAACTCTTTAGCTACAATGTATCAATGTTATGTTATAAAACAAATGGTAAACACCACAGCGTACACTATTGAGTTATGGATGCACTTGGGAGGTTTGCTAAGCACTCAAGAAGCTAGAGTCGCTCTCGGCTATCGCCTCGAGCGACTCTTACGCTTCTTTCGTGCTTAGCAACCTCCCGCGTGCATCCATAACTCAATAGTGTACGCTGTGGTGTTAACCATTTGTTAAATAACCAACAGCAGATAACTGTGTTGTGAACACCAACAAAACTGTGCTGTGAACACCAACAAAACTGTCTTGTGCGTAGAGAACAAATTTTTAAAAAATTTTGTTGCCTGACTGTCATACGTAATTAAAAAGAACGAAAAATCTGGATCTTACGCTATGTACTGCATGACTGATTGGGAAGGCCCGGCGGGAAAAGTTTTGGCCCTTTTACCGTTTCTGGTTCTACCTGCATAGCTCATTCATTAAATTTAATTATCAGCTCCTCTTCTAACCTTTTTTCAGGATCATGTTTGTACCATTTCCACGCCGCTTCATACACTTTGTCCTCCTTTCTGACGTTTAGACTATTGCTTGCGAGTAAGGAAGTTATCTGATGCGCTGACAACTTGACAAAATCATCTTCGTTAGCGATTTGTGAGAAGTTCCACTCCATATATTCCATTGTTTTGAGCTTTAATTGCTCGAGGCCCAGAGTCTCCGCTAGTTTGTGATACCCCACACAATTCTGGTTTCTCAAGTGATCGATGGCAAATCTTTCACAAGCAAAGACAGCCTCGTCAATCTGTAGGTAAAAAATAAATAGGTGTAAAGGAATAGGTGAGTGAATGAATAAATAAATGAATAAATAAGAAGAGGTAAACAGTTTCTATTCCGTACGTAACAATTTCCAGAACGATGTTGTATAAGTAACTTCATCCTACTGATCGAGTTCGGAATTATTTACATTTTGTTGTCGTAATTGATTAAAACCATTTCTATCCAGACGTCAAAACTCTGCTAGTATTTATTTTCATTTGTTTCTACCTGGAGAAACCGTTCCCTTTGAACGTTTGGCTAAGTGTATCATCGACTGTTAGCGGCTGGTTTTCAAACTTGTGCGCACCGAAAAGAAGCCTGAACATGACTAAGATAAAACAAATATCGTTCAAATAACCTTTAAGTAGTACAACAGCTGTAACAACTCCTTAATGTGATTCAATTGCAAAATCAGTTTTCCTTCATACAAAAAATCCAAAGCATTCAACATTAGAAAGTTGTCAAAATTCCATGGTATTTCTAGTTCTACGTAGGGCTTTACGCATTCACTTTCGTCGTGTTCGGCCGCCAGTTTTTCACGGAAGTATGGACAAGTTGCCGCCAAAATTACACGGTGCGCAGGAAAACACCGTCCGTCGCAGCAAATATACACGTCACATAATTCTTCATTCGCACGCATCTCTTGAAAAATGCGAAAGGCTTTGTTGCTGTGAGTTTCCCACTGGAAAACAATTTCGTTGGCCACCACTGCTTGTGAGGGAGAAAAATTGGTTTGTCTTAAAGTCATCTCGTTGTTCAGTCTGAGCGAATGTTCAAAGTGACTCTTGGACTCTTCGATGTGTTTGTTTTTAACTTCACGACTATCTGGACTTGTAATATGCTGGATTTATTTGCATAGTAACTTTATTAAATATTTAAAGGAGGATCATTATCAATTTTCTTTCTACAATATTAAGTACAAAAACCGGTTAAATAACAAGCTCCTGGCTTTATTATTATCATTTTAACTCCTATAAAAAAAATGAAACAGAATTGATCAAAACCTTGCCTAAAGGTTATACAATTTGGCCGAAAGGTCTTTAACATGAAAAAAACTCTCGAAGGAAAACTTATCAGAGTTATTTTTAGCTTGGACTTGCAGCAATCGATTAAAAAAAAAAACGTAACTATCAGTCATGCATAAACTGAATTTATTACTATTCATGTTCGTTTGGATAACATTTAAAACTTGGCAAAACTTTCTATTCAAGGTACAGGTTTAATTTTAATAAATCGTTCCTTTAAAAAGAGAAATTAATTCGCCCGCTGAGATGATTTAAATGTTTTAGCTCGTTGATACAGCTTGTCTAATACGCATGCAAATTTTAATTTGCAAAAAGGTTTGCCATGGATACATAATGATTGCACAAGTATGGAATAGACGAGTTTCTTTTCTGTGTAAGAGGGGTATTCAGTACTCGTTCAGGGGTCAAAGTTTATTTATTTTTTTTCAAGTTATGAAAGCAAAATTGGAATGTAGCTTGTAGCTGTTAAGTGAGTTTCCGTTTGTTTCACAATAAGAAACGCTATTTCATTTTTAACGCAGGTGTTATCTATAGTTGATTGTTGGGTATTTTTTCATTCTCATTCACGTGTCAGTGAAGCGACCTGCTAAACCAGAGTGCACGATATGGTGATCGGGGAGGAGAATTTTTACCTTCATCTATATCGATACTAATCAACGCCTTCGAACATATTTTTACATGGACGATGCATCCAAAAAACGCTGCAAATACTTAACAATTAAACTCTTTCAGATACAATGAAATATATGAAGTTCATATATTTTGAACTGCGGTATTAGATACGTATGATGCACGATCCTCGCAGTAGATAGCGCTATTTAAGCAATAGCGAAAATCAGACCTGAAAAAAATCAGGCCTGTACGGGATTCGAACCACTGACCTCTG